CGACAATATCCAACTCTCCAATGGTGCACTCATGCCCTTGCACTATGATGTATGTTATGCGGCGCCTTGTACTATGCATTTGCGTATCTGACAGGTCATAAATTATTTATTTGGAATTAAACTAATCTGCTTATGCGATTCGTAATATTAGGTGTTTTTTAATAAAGCTATGCCTTGTTCTAGTTCAGTGAAAATGGATGTCAAACTCACACAATTATATCAATATGATAAAAACAATAATTTATGATCCTAAAAAAAACTAGCTAGCTCTGAGTCGAACATAAAATTGTAAGTTTTCCTGCAAATTTTTAAAAACCAGCTGGTTGACTGCGACAGTACCCGCTTAAATTATAGCCTAACGGTCGGTTTTAGAATTGAAAAAATACAAAATCTCAACTGATTGTTCTGAATAGATTAAGATTTTTACTTTTCACAAGTCAAAAATCCAAGTTATATCAACTGATAATTTAAAAACTAAACACTGTTTAAGTATTAGTATAGATGTACTATTCTCTTAATAGCTTTGGAAGAGAAACGTGAAGGGGGAAAAGTTTATGTATTTCATTTTAATATGTCATCATACTAGTGTAGGTATTTTTAGTTTGCATTGTTTATTTATCCTACAAGAGTGGACATCTTTTATTTTTTTTTAAATAACTTATCGTCTTCTAGTCACTAACACGCATGGACTGATAGAGCACCGATGATTTACTCATTTCCTTTTAAAGTATAGACATACCGTTATTTCTACAAATCCTACCGTTAAGAATACAAGTGCTACGTCGTAGCTATCTACGCGCTCTGTAATAGAGTAATATTGCTACTGCTACGAAACGAAACGCTCTTATGAAAACTTAATTATCATGTTGCTAGGATTCACAAATGACCATCGAAGTATCAAATATGGGTGTTCGTATCTTCCTAATAAATTTGCAGAGTCTGCCGAACCCCATACGAACCTTGTCGACCAATTTAATGAGCCATTATTCAAATAAACTTACTGAAACATTGAAAACGTCCCACGTTGTTTACCTACCAGCCATTCCAGCCATCTTTTTGCTGACACGACTAACGGTCAGATGCACAAACGTCCATTAAGGTTTAATGACGCCTTTAAGCTCTAATGAATGTCAAATTTGTATGGGTAATGTCGCTTTAAACTAATGACAATTTTAATGAACGTTTGTGCAACTGGCTGTAAGGCTGGATTGCACCATATTAGCAGTAAAAACTAAGGTTTACGTCAAATTCGACAATAACTGTCGTGCTGACTTTAATAATGACCACTTTCTTGTCATAGTAACATGATAACTTTAATCAGCGAAGATTAACAGAAAAAGTTATGATGTCATTTATCCATTATAAAATGATGCAATTCATTATTTGCTTCTCCGAATCTTTAACATGCTTGCTATTGTTAAAGTTGGTGCAAACAACCCTTGATAACTAGTGGGAATGAGGTCTGTATAATAAGAATCTAATAGATACATGTTATACTATATACTCGTATAATAAAATAATAAATTACAAATCACAGCGTAAATATGGGAAACACAAACAGTGACAATAATAAAATAAGAAAAAAACAAAGACCAAAATTAAAAAGGAAAAAAGGACATATAGTAAAAATATAAAACTTCCAAAAAAGGATGGTGTCACTCCAAGGAGTAGCCTAATAAATTATAGTTTTTACTTCCTAATATTAATACAACCTACAATATAACTAAAACTATAATAAGAAGCATCTGAATAAAAGTAATAACTTTAGCAAATATTATTCTTAATGAAAAATGGTTAAAAAATTCACTTTGTCCTAGGCACTCTGAGATGGGTACAAAGCTAGAGACAAAGTGGATTTTTAAGCATTTTTCATTAAAAATATTTTTCAATATAGCATTGTGAATGCGAAAGTGATCAAATGTAGTAGTACTCCAAAAATTTGAGTATTAGCTATCGACAGTTCTTACTACATTCAAATTCTTATTTATTAGTTAAAAATATTTGCTTAAAATATTACTTTTACTAAAACAATTACTTCTACTCGATATTATAGATATAAAAGTGAAAGTATCCGTACAACAACAGGGGCCTAATTGTTAGATTTCAAATTCTAAAGCTATACCTTTGAAAGGTAACCTATTACATAACGTATGTTTATTTATTATATAACGTTAAAAATAACGATGATTAGTATAATCAAGAAACAATAAAAACTTGCTATAGTTATTAAAGTAATATTTGCGTCTAATACTTGCCTTAATCGATAACCGTTATCTTTCATTCAATATATTTTAACAAAACTGTCGCGATCGCAATTACTATCATATATCAGATTATTGTAGCGTGAAGTTCGTGAACGTCTTTCAAATGTTGATTGCGATATATTTTAAAATTAGATAGACCCTTACGCTGGCAATAGATGATACGCTATGATTGCGGAAAGCGCTACTAAAAAATATTTATTCTGCTCACGAAATTCATAAGGAAACAATCCGGTTCTATCCTTCTTAGCAATAAGATAGTAAGCTAATCGCTGTTTAATTTTACAAAAAAAAAACAAACGATCTCAGTTAACAAAACATGCTGTAACACATTTGGTTTTAAGGCTCCGTGCTTTAGAATATGTGGTTAGATTCTCGTTCGAATCAGATAGTTAACTTTTCCATATTATCTCAGGTCTGAGTGATGAATGAATATTATATTTTAATGTACACAGTAACGTATTTACATAGAAGCACATATAATTAAGAACATAGGCGGAAAAGGTGACCATATTGCTTAGGTCTTAATCTCTGCCGGGTGATGACATACGTTTCAATTAGGTATAATCCAAGTGTGGGAACAGAGAACCTTGTACGTAATGTTTTTTAATATTTATTTTTATGTTGATTGTCTTAGATTTTCATGACGCGATATTTTCATATGATGCTGCATCAGCTGCATCAGCATCATCATATGTAGTTAGAGCCATTAGAAGTTAGTAAAGAACAGAAATATACATAAATAGGTACCGCTCAAACTCATAACCGTCGTTGTTACTTTTCTTTTAATAGGTAATAAAAACTAAAAAAAAATAAAACCATATTCAAACTTAAAAAATGAGGGAAAATTCTTATCTCAAAAGCTACTTATCAAAGAAAATGAAATCGAAGTGAAGCGGGCGGAGGTCGAGGCTTCTGTTTATTAATTTATTTATTTGATTGAAAGACTAAATGATTTTCTTAAATAAGTAACTTTTGAGATAATTATTATTTGGTTCTATTTTTTAAGCTTTTATTTCATGCTTTTTAATAATATTGATATTTTTTAAATAATAGGTATATATATCTATAAATAAATATTATACATCTATATAAATAAAAATATTCGACATAGTGAGTCTTAGAAAAGAAGATTGTTTTTATTTGCTCGGCATATTTTTTCCAATAATTCTATATTCATATTATAAAGAGAAAAGATTTGTTTGCTCGTTTGTCTGCATTGAATAGGCTCCGAAACTATTGGACCGATTTATGAGTCTTTCATCTGTGGGAAGTTACTTAATACGCGTTGGACATAGACTATAATTTACGCAGGCGAAGTCACTGGCAAACAACTAGTTTGATAGAAATTGGTTCACAGTTCAAGAAGAATTGACTAACATACCAACTTATATAAAAAATATACATACTCTTTTCGGGTTTTAAATGAACTCCAAATACGCAAACTTCTGTTTTTAGCTGAAAAGGGCCATGTCTTGCCATATCAATTTAATTTGTAGGTGATATTTGGTGAAAAGCGTATTTTGTTTTGTTATTAAAGGAAAAATACTGATTCGATTTCGATAATATTTAAATGGGGCCACCTCGGTCTATTAAGCTATCAAATAAAAAAAAATTAAAGTCGGTCTACGATTGGTGAAAATATCGGTGACAATACATAAAAAATATTATATAACCTCGTTTTGGATTTTGAAATCGGTTAAAAATACAATTTTACGTTACAAAAATAAATTATCTTTATAACTAAACATGAAAAAATAACAAATAGCTAAGTAGAGGAAGACTAATCCCAGTAATTTAAAGAGAACAAAATACTAGAAATAAAGTATTTTTATACGTAATTTTAAATAAAATGTTAACAAATAAATAAAGCCCTAATAAGAATTATTTCAATAGACAAACAATGAAATATTAGACATCTATAAAATTCACTATTTTTACAATTTCTTTGTTAATTATCCTTTTAAGGGGTAATATTGATAAATGTATACTTTGTACCTGTTGATTTCGATAAAGCTATTGTTTTGCATAATAAAAACAAGAAATTCTTCATAGTCACGTATTAACTACTTGGTTAGTACTCACATCTTATCAATTTCCAATGTTAAAAAAGATAGTAACAATAAAAAAGAACTTTATAATTTTGTTTATCGACAAACATTATACAAATTCATATTTTGATCAAATTACTTCATTTAATTTTAGTTTTATTTTAATTTAATTGTATATCAAAGATGTATTATTTTTAATTGGTTTCCTCTTTTATGTAATTTATTTAATTCCTTCGTCTATACTAATATTATAAACAGGAAAGATTTGATTGTTTGTTTGTTTGTATCGATTAGACTCCGAAACTACTGGATCGATTTAAAAAAATGTTCACTCACGGGAAACTAAATAAATGAAGCAAATAACAAATAAACAGCAAATAAAGGGATGCAAAAGCGAGTAAAAGTTTGTATAGGGAATTAAAACGGTGCTAATATTCAATTCGTCATTGTAATTATATCCGTGTCATAATATGAATCCATATCCAAATACAGAGTTCCCTAAGGACCACGCGGGCGAAAAGTTAGTAATCAATAAAGTTATTTATGCACCCTATGCATTTGCTGTAATATTTAAAATATCATTAAAATTCATAAAAAAACGAACAGTTACAAAACACTCATACGTAATCTTTTTTCTCTTTTATAGTCGTTTGTGTCCACACAAATAACAAAAACATAGATCACTCACCGAAAATATGACAAAACACGCTTTTCTAAAACTTAAAAAAAGTACTTTTCAAACACACTTTGTTTTTATGTAATAAAGTTTATTGCGGCGCTGGTAACTTGTGAGTAGTTGCGCGCGCGAATTCTCGCGTATGTTTAGGGCGGGCGGGCCGCAGCTTAAACCTTTATATGAGCGTCGACGATACCAAAACCGCCTAGTAAATAATATCACCGTCATTAGCAATTAGTCAACATATGTATTTCGTGTTTCAATTGTATGCTGTAAATATATCATATTACTATTGAATATTATCATATCAATACAGAATTATGCTGTGCTAGTTATTTTAAGCGTAAGTTATTAAATTAAAACAACGTAACTAATGACAGTCTAAGTTTATGCATACCAAATAAATTAAAACGTTATAAACTGTAAATAAAAATAAGCCTAATTAAGTATAATAAAACTATAATATTTTTTTAAATAACTATAACTTTCAAAGTAAAATTGAGCATTGTGAACTATTTTCAATTAAAATAATCCAATCAGAGTTTTACATTAGACTATTCAAATTAAGTAATTTTTTTACTTCTTCACACAAAAAGTACTTAACGGATTTAGATGAAATTTCGTATATACGCAATTTTTGTCTGGATTAACATATAGGCTACTTTTTATATATGATATAAAAAGTAGCATATATGTTTATATATGATGGATATAAGTACTTTCAAGGGCGTCTATTTTTGTAAACACTGCCTAAACGGTAAGAGATATTCGAATGCTTTCAAAAGCAAAGTTGGAGAGCCTTAAATTATCTATAAAAAAAAGTCCGCAATGGCATATATCTATTCTTCGTAAAAGTAAAAAATCTTCGTAAAATGTGCTTAAAATTTTTTGTCCATCTTAAGACGTTTATTTGAACAGGTAAGGTGATATTGAATCCTTATCAAAATAAATATGCTTATCGTCAAAGAAATTAAATGCAAAAAATAATTTGTTTTAGACCAAATCAATTGGATGAGTAGTTTGGATTTTACTACGATATTTTTGAGAAAGGAAAAATCACACCGTGCCGATTTTCTAAATACTATTTCATATTTACGCATCTATTATGACTTTATTAGGACTCTATTAGGACTCTAGTTATGATATTATTGTTTCTAATAAAAATAATGAAAGCAACAATGACTAAGAGAGCGATTGGTAACAAGGAACACCTATTTAAAATGAGATTACCAGTCTACATACCCAAGAAGATTATCTAGTAACGTTTTTGTAGTGGTAAACCTAATGCAATTTAACGTTGAGTGCATTTTGATTAACCACAATATCAATCAAATCGAAGCCAATTTTGTCATGCGCTAAGCGTCCTGGAAACCATAGAAAACAGATTAAAGAGAATTTATGGACCCTTCATTCGACACGATGACTTTTTAAAACCAGGCTGTATTGTTATTATAGTATATAGGTACATACTATATGTAGTATAGTATATATAGTACCAGCATTTGTTATTATAACGGCAACAGAAAAACATCATCTGTGAAAATTTCAAATGTCCAGTAATAACGGTTCATGAGAAACAGCCTGATGACAGGCAGACTGACAGACGGAGAGATGGAAAATGGATTCTTAGCGATAGAGTTCTGTTTTTTATCCTTTAGGTACGGAATCTAACACGGATATCATTACAAAATGTAATTCTAAATCGTAACTAACATCGAGGATGTTGTAGAGTACTTTTCATATTTTCTGTATAGTCCTCTTCCTCGACACAGCTTAAACCCCCATGTTTTGTATTTTTATTAAAAAAGGTACATTTAACGTGTTTTGCAATGATAATTTGTACAAAAATAACGGTACAGGGTTATAAAGATAATTTTATGCTGGCTACCAGAAAACCCAACCTCTCGGAATTAATAAATAAACCTTCACTTTGGCATCAAGCTTATGAGGTTGGTTTACCATGATATATGATATTTTCGTAACTTGCTTCTACTTTTCTTTATAGCCAAATAATGAGTTTTTATATCAATTTAAAAAGAATGTACGCTCGGAGAAAAAACTACTTTTAAATAATCGAATAGTTCTTATTCTTTATAAATTCTATTTTTATTCGGGCGATGATTTGATGGCAAAATTTTTACACGTCTGACTTGAAACGAAGTTTTCGTTTGTCATAATAAAAATTTTTTTATAACTTAAACAAAATTATTGATCTAATTTTGTTAAAGTTATAATGGGATTATTTCGAAACTTTCAAACAAAAAAGTGCAATGTGAATACAAGAACAGTCAAATTGGAAACCTATTTTTATTTTTCGAAGTTGGTTAAAAATAAACCACTGTAAATAAATACTAATACCACGTACTTTCTTATCGGTTCTCCTCAGTTAATGGTCTCCTCTCATTATTACCTGGTGTTTCTTCTGTGAACAAAACATGAGGTCTGACTGTTAATTACAGGTGAAGTGGAAATCCAAACACATTTTTAGGTTGACGTTGTTTTTGTTACTTGATTTAAGAGACAAATTAAAAATAAAGTTCCTTATTTATAATAGTAATAACATTATTGACTAAATTATAACCCGAACTGGTCGTCCAATGCAGCGCTGTCACGTCAATGAGCTTCAATGAAATAAAACCTTCATTACCTCCTAATCTAGGTCAGAAGCTGATTTTATTGAATAGCACTACAAGGCTGATTTTAAAAATAAAAATATGTATATTTCGTCAAAACGTGTGACTGTTGACGAGAATAGGATAAGTGGAATAGGGATGATGAGTAGGTTAAAATAAAATCTATTTTGTCCCTCAATCAGATAATAGAAAAATATTAGATACGTATTTTGTTTTGCTTCAATTAAACAAGAAATGGCTTAGATAATAGGCATTAAAATTAAGGAATGGGAGCTCGCTACGCCACAATTTTGTATAAAATGTACAAAAACGTGACGTCATGCGACATTTCAACTCAATGTGTCGCCGTAATTTATTGATAACGCAAAAAATAAATACGTATTTAATATTCTTCAATAATCTACCTGACAAACAAACAAAAAGCAGCTATAATGATAGATATAAAAAAATAATTGAGACATTATCGATTAAATGCATCGCTAGTAAAAAAAATCACTGAATATATATGTAAATACGATTTATCTGTTAAGTGATTGAGCTGAAGTAGACACTTATATCCTTTTATCTTTTTGTATACGAAAATGTAATTTTATGTATTGCCTTTCAAATTTCATCTCAATAAAATGATGGGTCGTAAAGTGTGGGAGGCGTTTAGCGTGGCTCGACACCCCGTCAAATGACAGCCAATGATTATAAAACCATTTTTTATCTACACAATAGCCACACGTACGATCTATTTGCGTTGATATTATTTACCGGTCAATCTGAGATGTCCAAGACCACTTTCTCAATAATAACAATCTATAATGAGATGCAGATGCATCTAATTATAGATTGTTATTGTTATAACTACTTGTATATAACATAGTACGTAGACAGATGTCTAGACTAATATTATAAAGATTTGAATGTATATTTGTATCGAGTAGGCTCCAAAACTATCAGACCGATTTTTTTCTTTCACCTACGGAAGCTACATCATATGCGGTGAACATACGCTATATTTTATTCCGAAAAAACAGCAAATAAAGGGATAAACATAATCGGAATGAATGGGAGTGGGAGTTTTTATCTGTCATTTTATTAATCCATGTCATGTTATTGTTATGAATCGATATCCAAATAAACAGTTCCTAAGGAGTCACGCGGGCAAAGCCGCTGGCGGAAAGCTAGTACCTAATTTAAAGAGGTAAAGTTTAAGGTTTGTTTGTAGGTGGTAATCTTCAGAAATACTGATACAATCATGAAAATTCTTTCACCTACGGCAAGCTACACCATACGCGGGTGACATAGTCTATAATTTACGCGGGAAAACAGCTACTTTATAATAACATATTAATTACGGTTTGCTCGTTTCGTTCCGGCACCTATAAAGATGTTACGTCGTCTTTAATTTGTGGGTTTACATAAAATAGATTATTATTTTGAAACTCGGTAACTCTTGTACAAAACACGTTAATGGTAATTCATTTTGACCTTGTTTTTTACGTACACAATATTTAGATATGCAGGTTGTATTTGTTGATGGGAATAAAATGTTTTCCTAACGTTTTTAAAATGGTCTCATGGGTTTAAACAATATTTAATTTATTTTCAGTGTATATATTATTACAATAATAGATTTAGTCAGTACTAATTACAATTAATGGAAATAATGGAAACTAACTGGTAGGTATACAAGGATTGAACTAAATAACACTAAATATATATGTACGAGCAAGCCGCACATTGCCAACGCATCATATTACAATAGCCTAGTTTACTCATAAATAATAAATTACCTTTACATAGTTCAGTTTGCATATCGTACGTTGAGAACGATAATGACACAATGCAAAAAAATGCGATTTTGAGTAACGAGTGTTTAAAGTTCAAGAAATTGTAATCAGACATTGTCATTCTCAACGTGCGAATATATCAGCGTATCAAGTCTCGCGTACACACATCAATTTTCTTCCTCATTTATTATAATCTCTCCAAGTTTCTTATAGAAAATACATAAAAGTTTTTAAATCTTATCAGTTTCATCATTTTAGTTCTATCCCGAACTTCCCGATTAAAGGGAGCTCGATGGTGCAGCAGTTAGCGCATTCGGTCTAACGCCAATCCGGTTCCGACCGGCCATACGGCCATAGTATGTATGAAAATTTATTGTCTCGATTTTCTTCGTGCTTGGGAAGGCACTTTAAGCAGTTGGTCACGGCTGCATCTGCAATCGTTATGTTATAGACAATTCTTCATATTCATTTCTATTCGATTTGATCCATATCCATCCATAGAGAAAGCCTATACTTCAGAAATGAAGACATCAATAGACTAATAAATGATAAGATTAAAAACAAGAATAAATTACTCATCTCTTAACTGACATGAGTTTTTAACCGACTTCAAAATAAAAAAGGAAGTTCAATGTTCGACTGTATGTATCCTCGCCGATTTCTCGGGGGATTGTAGCCCAACTATTCAAATTTTTGTATATTTATGGTCTGAACTAACTTATTCTATA